TGGTTAGCCTCCTGAAGGAAACTCGTCAGGGCTCCGACAACTACGCTCATCGTTTGCGTTTGTTGTTCCTATACTTTGGTGAATCTCTCCATAAAAGAGTTTATGTCTGTTATTTGTTTTTCGATTCCAGTCAAAGATGTCCTGAGCACTTCTATTTCCTCGTCATCCTGCTCTTCATTTCTTGCCCTTTTCCGCGGTTTCTTTCACTCCGTTCGCCCTTCATGGCTTGTTTCTTGTCCAGCTGCGACGGTTTCACTGGCCTCACTCATGGTGGCAGCAGAACTTCAACTTGCTCCCTCTTCTGCTTCATTACGTAGAATTACCGCATCCCTACAACCAAGGACTATGTCTATCTCCTCGTAGAAAGTGGACTCCCTCCTATGACCTCCATTTTGGTAACTATTCCAGTCCTTAGGGCTTTTGTATCTTTCATTCAGATATTTCATCTTCTTGTTGATTTGTCGTCTGAGCGCATGGTCCCGAATCTCCGATTCATCTCCCGTGCAATTTCGTCCCACACTTTGCGTGTGAGTCTTTGCTCTCTAGCCGCTCATGATGTTTAGCCCACAAGCTAACCAGCGTCTTCTGTTCGGCGTCATTGGACCATTTATCATAATTTTTCTTCGACTGAGCAGTGTTTCCCTTGATCGTAGCCGCTGCCATTTCATGAGATCTCAGACTATCAGAACAGACAGAGCTCTAGCTGACTGTTATAGCTGGACTGCTTGGAGTAGCGGCTTAACTCACGCTCGGAACAGGCAAGGACTGATGTTGAAGGTATTGACAATTCATCGGGAAAGAACCCGGCGTATAGTAAAAGGGAAATTGCCCATCCATGATGAGAAGCCACTCGTGTTTAGATGAAATTCCCGCCGATTCCAAATTGCATACAGATCAAATCCATTAGCGCGACATCTCCAGAAGCGGCTTCTTTTGTTTTCTTGCATTTCTTCAAAATCCGCCTGCCCCACCCATACGTACGACGACGTCTTCGAAGTTTTGCCGGAGTTTCTAATTTTTTGCTAACCTGTAAATCACCGGTCGCATTAGAAATAGCGCTATAGTGACAGAATTTCAACCTTAAGTAAACAAAAACAAAAAAATGATCAAAACTCCCCTAGTGCGCGCTAGTTTCTGATTGGTGAACCTGTTGACAGTAATTGACAGTTGACGAAA